CCCCCGCCTCCAAAAGACAGACGGACTGCCGTTTTGGATCACACTTGAACCAAAATGGCAGCCCATTACAAGCTCAGGATGATTCATGTGCGCCCTAGCCTGCCAAACTCAACACATGCATAGAAATAGCACTTCGCTCTGAGAAGAGCGATTGCTGGAGGCGAGGAGCGCTACAGGTTTGGGAAAAAGATCCTCCTCCTGGCAGAATCTTCAGTAGAGCTGTGGCTCAGCAAAGGACTCGACAGGCTCAAACCGACCTGCCTGAGAAGCCCAAGCCCTGAAGCCTGCACCGCCCTTGCCCTGAACCGGAAACCCAGCTCAGGCCTGGCGGCAGAGACCACAACGAAGGAGAACTACCTGCATCTGGACTCAACGCTCAGCTCACGATGCAACTCGTGTCGCACTAACTGCTACAAGTGCGGCGAATGAATGCGTTGGGCAACTCTGCAGCATCATCAGTCTTAAAGTCTTGTCATGCTGCGCAATCCGAACGACACCCGATTGCAGCTCCTGTTGTCAAAGACGAAATCGCAGTGAGGGCTTCTAGTGCGGGGGCTAGTTCGGGTTGTTTGGATTTACGATCCGGGGTTTCCTGCAGGGTGCGAGGCCCATCGTACTCCCTGAAGCCTGAAACCCTAAAGCCTCGATCATCCCGCACTGAGCTCTGTGCCCTTGTCGAGGGCCCAGGGATCAAACCTCTACGGACCCCTTAAACGCAGGTTCCTTTGTTTAAGGACCTCTACAGAAGGCACCCCTAACGTTTTACGAAACCCCCTGTCAAAGCCTGCGCCTTGCCCCCTCTGCTCTCACCAGAATGGAACAGAAATGACGGCTCGGGCGGCCGGAGTAGGGAGCTCGCTCCCGTGCTCACGCTCTACAGGCCATGCGGCGAGCCGGACGGTTTCCTCAACTAGACGGTTGCCAAGGTCAGAGTTGGGCTCCAAGAAGAAGGCGTCCCCGTCGTCATCTAGGACATGCTCTTCGGTGGAAGGGTCAACATATTCAAAAGCATTGATGAAATCGTGGAGAGTTCCCCAGCCCGGGCATCGGGCAAAAAAGCCGGTGGACTTCGTGAAGCCCAGCGCCTGGTAGCCCGGGAATTCATCTGCCATCACCGCTCGCAAGGCATCCATCAGCCGTCGGCCGTACCCCTGGCCACGCTGAATTGCAATTACGGAACATACGCCCATGCAGGGAAATGCTTGTGCGGCCTCACCGGCCCCTACCACAATGTCTGGCATGTGCCGGAGTACAGCGAAGGCCAGCCATTCGCTCGGCGGTGGGTGTGGTGCCGTCGAGCTTGACGCAGGCACCAAAGCAATCAGGAGGGCCCCTTTGCCGTAGTGGGTTTTAAACGCCTCGCAGCTCCCGATTGCAGCAGATTCGCCAAAGGAACTCTGCCGATGCTGATTGATGACTGCGGCCTCGTCCTCGGAATTCATACAACCAACTATCAAAACCTATTAGGTATGAACAATAAATGAACTCTGAACCCCTGAAACCACTGAAATCCCCAGAACCCTAG